TCCTTAATCTTAGTGAGCAAGCCTCAGCCTATTGTGGACTATGGAGGAGGTCTCAATGATAGTTTGATTATTGGAGACTTTAAGGTTTTGCTTTGATCTGCTGAGTGGATTTAGTGCCAAAGGAGGTTCCCAATGCTCTCTGCTGATGCTGGCTGAGAGTTCAGAAAGATTTCCCAGGCTTCAGGTGCATGGGGTGGGCTAGGGGAGAAACTGGTGAGGTGGGGTTGGAGGGACTGCTGTTCCCAAAGTCCCCTCACCTATTACATTCCCTCTGATCTTCAGGGACAAAGCCTTCCTGGATCAGGTCACTGATGTAGCTGCATCGCTCTTGCAGGGTCTGCCTTCTTAGCTACTTTTCCTTTGAAAAGGCAGCCCTAGGCCCACAAGAAATGTGAAGACTTCCCTGGTTGCTTATTGTTGGTGTGGCTCCTGTAGCCATTCCTTTTGCTGGCAGTGCAGCCTGCCTGGTAGTCAGAAGAGTGCCAGTTTCATCTGGAGAAGGAACAGGGTTTCCTGGGGGCCGTCTATTGCTTAGTTGGGGGTGGCAAAAAGCAGATATGAGTGCCCTTCTGCTTGTGGGAGCACACCGTGTGCTGTTTCTCTGGTCCTGGGTCTCGAACCAGCTTGTCTTTCTCCTATCACTTTTTAGCAGTGTCTTCTGGTAGCTTCATGTGTCATTACTAGGCCTGTGATACTTGTGGTTCGCATGGAAGGAGATGGAAAATGATGTCTATGTAGGACTGGCAGTCCATATACTTTTAAATAGTGTGGGTTGCATTCGATAAAGGAAGTCTGTAAGATAAGATCACTTTGGGATTTAGTCAACTTTTATTTTCCCCTTTGATCTGCAAGATCAAGAGATTTGGGTTAGATCTTTTTGATGCAGTTCCCCACATAAACACTTTGTAATTCTGATAATGTTTAGTGAACTTAAAATAGCTATTGCAAATAATTGGTGTAACTCATCATCTGCTATGCCACCTGGCTGCAATGGATTGCAGCACAGTGAATAAAATCTGCCATACTTGAATGACATGTGTGCATGAGTCAAATCAAATAAAATCTAAAGCTTGTTCTACATGCTGATGCCCATGGGGAAGTAATAACTTCAGTATATGTATGAATTAACTTCAGTTTTAACATTGTATTTAGTAATATGATTATTCAGTCAAAGCACTCCCTTAATTATTTTTTAGTCGGCTTAATTTACAAATCAGATTCCTTGTCCTTTCAATTGTGTAAATATGGAATCAGTAACTACCACGTTCCAGGAGTCCGGTTAGGTACTGGGTAGACAGGAAACCTGCAACTCACTTCACCTGCTCTCAGCATCCGCTCAATACTGTATTTGAAGGTATGTGAAAGACATAAGAGTGCAAACATGGTCTTCCAGAGCTGAAATTCCTCTGCTTTGGTTTATCAAACAGCTGAGTTGACTTCTGATGCTTCGCCTAGTTGCTTTTCATCTGCCAATTTATACCGGAGTTTATTTTGTCAGTACCTCTTTGAAACTCATTAACGGTATTTTACTCCATCCTCAGGAATGATTCTGCCCAGGCACCTGAACAGATAGTAGTGCATTTTTACTTATCCTTATTAATCACTGTATCAACCCAATTAAGGCAAGTAGTCAATTAAATCATACGATTAAATAACTGTGTTTTCTACGTGTTCTGAGATATTTATACCATTCATGGACATTAAAAGACAACAAAGGACTAAAAAGTACTTCAGTGTTAGGCAAGTTTTTATCTTAGCAGCCTTTACTATTCCACTGCCCGATTTACAATTGTAATGAGTATATTAAAGGCTTAGTAAACCCCTTCTTGAGGTACCTATCCATAAAATATACACATCTCGTATTGCAGGTGATACATTGCATTAGTTTTATGTTTTGACAGCTTTGTGACACATGCAATTTTTCTTCAACTATGAACAAATTATTTTAAAGTGATATACAGTAAAATAGAACTTTTTGTGTGTATAGATTTATGACTAGATAGGTGTATAGGTTTGTGTAACTACCACCAAAATCAGAACACAGAACAGTTCCTATACGTCAAAGTACTGTGGTATCTATCCCTTTTTAATGACACCCTCCCCCACCTTAAGCCCTGGATTACTTACTGATTCATTCTTCATTCCTGTAATTTTGTCTTTTTGAGAATGTCACACAAATGGAAGTATTACCTATGTGGAAATGTAAAATGGTACAGCCATTCTGGGAAATAGGTTGACAGTTTCATATGAGGGTAAATATATACCAATCATATGATCAGAAATCTCACCCTAGGTATTTACCCTAGAAAAATCAAATTTAAGCCGGACAAGGTGGCTCATGCCTGTAATCCTAGCACTTTGAGAGGCCAAGGAGGGCAGATTGCCTGAGCTCAGGAGTTTGAGACCAGCCTGGGCAACGCAGTAAAATCCTGTCTCTACTAAAATACAAAAAATTAGCTAGGCGTGGTGGTGTGCACCTGTAGTCCCAGGTATTTGGGAGGCTGAGGCAGGAGAATTGCTTGAACCTGGGAAGCAGATGTTGCAGTGAGCTGAGATCACACAACTGTACTCCAGCCTGGGTTACAGAGACTCCATCTCAAAATAAAAAAACAAGAAAAATCAAAATTATACCACATGAATGTTTATAGTAATTCTATTCATAATTGCCCAAATACACTATTCTTCAACAGGAAATTGGAAAAACACATGCATAGTTTTACAAAGGAATTATACTCAGTACTCCCAAAGAACAAATTATTGATATACATAACAGCATCGGAATCTCACTAGGTTATGCTGATGAAAGAGATTACAATCAAGAGTTTTAGCCCTCTGTTTTATTTTATTTTCTCTATTTTTGTTGTGGTGGTGGTTGTCATCTAGTCAAAATCTTGCTATGTTGCCCAGGCTGGTCTTGAACTCTTGAACTCCTAGGCTCAAGTGGTCCTTCCACTTCAGCATCCCAAAGTTCTGGGATTACAGGCATAAATCAGTATGCCCAGCCTTTAACACATGTATTTCATGTAGATTGGGATAGAACTATTGAACCATTTAGCAAGCTCCAAAGGGAGGATTTGTTCAGAAATGAGATTGTTCTTGTCTACACAATAAAATCACAAGCAACCAAAACATCATACATTTACTGTATTGTACAGTTGTAACTAAGAATACTGACTCATTTTCATTTGAAAGGGTTTAGTTATACTCTCAACAAGTTTAGATGTACTCACAAAATGCCCTGGTATAAGACAGGAAAATAAAAAATCAAATATCATTTCCTTCATTTTGAATTAGCCACTTCACATATTTGAAATCAGAGTCATAATCACTGCTGATTTCAGTTCAACATTGATGCTGACTGCAACAAGACATATCAATGCAAGGCAGCAATGCCTTCACTGAAGTTTGTGGAAAAGGTAATAGAATGTTAGAGCCAAAGAGTTCCTTTAAGTTAGTTTAATGCAATTCTCTTGTTTCATAGGGGAGGAAACTGAAATTGAGATAAAATGATTTAGCAAAAATCACAGATGGATTAATGACAGGGCCTATAAGAGAACTTCAAAGGCTAAACCCTTGGTATGCTGCCCAAGATAACACAAAGATTTAAGGGATTATTTAGAAATATTTCTATAAAATTTAAACATGTAGTTGTATAAATTAATTTACATTTCCCTTTATTGATTTATTCAAAAATATGTATGCTATACACTAGAGACTGGGGATAAAACGGCCAAGAGTCACAAAATTGCATCCAGGAAGCTTAGAATTTGAAAGAAGGTGGATGTTGAAGCAGATGTCTATGAAACTGAGTTACATGAAGGATTCTACAGAAAACCTAGAGGAAAAAAGTCCTAATCTGGCCTCAAGAGGTTAAGAAATGTCTAATGAGAATCCTGAGTCTTCAAAGACTCTTAACTCCTGCCCAGGAAGAATTGACACTCAATCTAGAAATTTGATGGCCTATCAAAACCCTGGAAACTGAGAAATGCCGTAGTTTTGGAGAATGGGGAAGATACATACGGTTGAAGCAGAACAGGCCTGGGAAATGACAGAGTTTTAGACTGAGGGGCTTGGAGGTGAAAAGGCAGGTAGCTACAATATTATGGCTTATTTTTTCAAAAGAAAATTGTATTTTGTTCTATATAAACAAGGTCAAGAGATTGAGACCATGCTGGTCAACATGGTGAAACTGCGTCTCTACTAAAAATACAAAAAATTAACTGGGCATGGTGGTGCATGCCTGTAATCCCAGCTACTCAGGAGGCTGAGGCAGGAGAATTGCCTGAACCCAGGGGGCGGAGGTTGTGGTGAGCCGAGATCGTGCCATTGCACTCCAGCCTGGGTAACAAGAGTGAAACTCCCACTCAAAAAAAAAAATTATTTAGTGTTTCATTAGGATAGCTTTATTTTTAAGTTTAAATCAGAATAATATATACTATAGAGTCAATTTGGGGAAAATTGATCTGTTTTAAACAATGCAATGACTAATTAACTATATGTTATGATGATTGTTTAAGTACAGTAATTCCCCACTTAATATTCTACAAAAGGTCTTTGGAAACTGACTTCAAGCAAAACTCTGTCTAACATAACCAATTTCTCCTTAGGCTAATTGACATAAACAAGAGTCAAGTTGACATATTTATGCTCACCAAAAGCATCACCAAACTTCAAACACTCCTAATATTAAACATTTAAATAAATATGAGCTAGAAACACATTTCAGAAATATTAATAAAAACAAGATAATTTCCCCGATTTTTGGTGGATAGGTGACTCACAGTGGTAGGCGTGGAAGTTGGTTAAATCAAGGAATGAATGTTTGCAAATGGAACATGTTCAGGAGCACCTCCTCCTATGCAAGTCAAAAACAATCACAAATGTGACGGCTCCCTGAGCACCTTCCTATTACATTGTTTATTGTCCTGCATTTGTATGATTATTATATACTTGACAAGTTTTTACTTGACAATTTATATTCATTATTTTTTTCCAACCAGGTTATCACCTAACAGCAATAAACCTCACATGCACAGCTTTGGGATGTTGGATAAACCTGTGCCCAGGCAGACGTGGGGAACCCAACTCCATGCAGACAGCAGCCCTGCCTGGAATCGATTTTCTTTATCAAGTTAGAAATGACATTGAAGAAAATAATTTTATTTGGGCACCTGATATATTTCATGAAAGCTAGCATCTGTTTTATTTTTCAGCTGCAAATTATTATTTTTAAAGTCCTGTTTCAAACACATAAACAGTTGCAAAGAGTAACAACATTGTTTGCTTCTTCATTTTAAACAAATTATTTCTCAGTGCTAGCAAGCTAAAATTGTCCTGGAAACCTAAAAAAAAAAGAAGAACAAAATTTCTTCAGTTGTAAATGATTATAAAATAACTTTTTCTAAAGTTAAAATAAACACAATTTTTTTCTTTATGTAATTTTTAAAATGTTAGTTTAAAAATAATTATAAAAAGCTGTGATTACAGTTCTTATAAATATAACCATCACATAGCAGGCTAAAATAAATTCCAAAATGATTAATAAACGTGAATCTGATTTACATTTGATCGAATTAACAGTGCAGTGTGGCAGTGTGCTTGTTGTTTTATGCGTATTAACAAATTAACATACATAAGATTAAATTAAAACAAAATTTAGTACAGGACTTAAGAATTTAAATATATCCACTTATAGGTATATCTAAAGTAGCTGACTAGCAGTATGTCTTTTCAATATGTAATAAGTTTCTATATGTTAATTAAGTTTAATTAAAGTTAAATGTCTAAGAGGGAGGTAATTTCAGAATCAAGACGTAGAGTTAGGAGCCTATTTCAGTGGGGTGAGTGTGAGATAGTCAGTGTTTAACAATGGGTGGGAATGGCAAGACAACACACACGAGATTTTGAAAAGCAGGTATTACATGTTTTGATTGCCTTAATATTTTTCCTCTTATGAGTAAAATATGCCAAGAACAGGTGAAATAAGGGCTGGGAATGTGCTTGAGAAAAGTGGTGATCACTTAGGACAATAGCAAATGGAAATGGGGAAAATGCACTGACTATAATTCAGGAAAAAAGCATGAGTAGTTTGGGCCTTGAGATCATACATAGGTATCAGTATAGATCAGCAAGTTCTGCACACATATGGGAAGATAGTGGTTGGCTGGATTGATCTCGAGTTGAGGTTTTGTCAGAGATGGGACAGATTGGTAGTAGAACTTTAACACAGTTCAGGGGCTGGTGAGAAAGAATGAGTACTAGCCATGTTGTCCAGTCTGGGTCAAAAAACTGACAAAATTATTAATAGAGGTTATCTAAAATTGGGATAGTTTTTCAGGAAGTGCAAGAATATGATAATAAGAGATATGGTAGTGTGGTCAGAAAACGGGGTTAGGTGCCTAAGATTTTTATGACAAAGTATAGCAAGGTTCAAGGTATAACCAGTGATATCACACCTTGCACCTGATGTCATACCTTGCAGTGGAGTGGAGAGAAAAGTTATTGGGTTAAAAGGCTCAACCATGAGTTACTTTACAAGAATTATGAAACTGCCTGCAGGAAGCAGTGACAAGAAGCCAGGAGCTACATGAAGGAAGAGAACTATGATGGACATCAGTAGTCACCTTGCATGGTGGCATGAGTCTCAAAGTCAAAGGGGTGTAACAAGGGAGAAACAAGTAGAAGTAGGGAACACAGATCATAAGGGTGCTGGCAACACCTCTAAGCCTGAAGGGAAAAGGACTCCCTTCCCTTAATTCTACATGACTCAGGCGCCATGTACATACTACCATGTAGGAAACCATGAATGGCTATGCACACTGTCTTCTTTAACTGTATAATAAAACCACACATTTTCTTTTTTCTCTCTTCTTCCACCCAAAGCCATGAATTTGACTTAAGATAGTTTTTCCTTCATAGATATACTTAAAGGATAGTAAACCAAAGAAGGAAAGAAAGAAGCAGAAACTAAGCTGTAGAAAAATGAGCAACTGAGGTCAGGTGCAGTGGCTCACATATGTAATCCCAGAAGTTTGGGAAGCCAAGGAAGGAGGATCACTTGAGACCAGGAGTTCAAGACCAGCCTAGGCAACATGGCAAAACACAATTTCTACAAAAATAGAAACATGACTGTAGTCCCAGCTACTTGAGGGGCTGAAGTGGAAGGATTGCTTGAGCACAACCGGTAGAGGCTGCAGTGAGCTGTGATTGTGCCACTGCAATCCAGCCCGGGCCACAGAACGAGACCCTGTCTCAAAACAAAACAAAACAAATAAAAAAGAGTAACTAGAACCACCCCCCCATTTCTCTCCAAAAATCTCAGACCTAAACTCCCACTGAGAATAGTTTTGAGGGCTGAATATAATGATAACAGAAAAGCACATCTTTTAAGGTCTATGAGAATGATATAAAGCAGACAGGATTTTTAAAGTCAAAAATTAAGACAGAGGCATACGTGTTAAGATATTCTCACATTTTGCAAGTCATTTTCCTTTCAAAGGATTGCTGAGTCTCATTTTAGGGTATTACAGTCAAACAGGAATCTGCAGCTCAGATAAAATGGTTTTGGGAAACAGGATATGACAGGCCTGAACTGGGCTGGGCTATCAAGCAGTGACAGTTTGAGGAGAGAGCAAGCCTGACAGCTGCCTGGCTTTAGGTTCTTGATAAATTTTTTTGCCCAATCCTAATTTTTTTTTGTTTTTCCTAAGATTAGAAGCAAAGGAACAAAATGAAAGAGGTGCTTCAGTAGGTCTAAAGAGCTATACAGAGCATTTGGAATTGTGGGTGCTGGGAGACAGAGTTGGGAGTTCAATGGCCTATCTTTTAAAGGGAGATCTGCTTGAGAAGATCACAATCTCTGGGGTTATGACTGGGAAGTCAGTAAAGTAAAAAATGTGGTCTTGAATCAGTCCGCCAGCTGACTGGATCAAGGCAGTCCTTTGACAGCCAGGAAAAAGTCCTCTGGAGAAGACACGAATGCACAGCCAAGCCTGGGAATCAAAGCAAACTCACCTGAAACATCCAGAAACAAAGCATCCTATGACCCAACACTAGAGAGACACAGTAGAAAAGGAGCAGGGTATCCAGATACCATGTTAGCAATAACAGAAAATTAATGGTTAAACTATGATTTGTGTGCTTTAGAAAAGAAAAAAATGATGATTGTCAGTTTTGGCAGAAAACTGGAAATCCTGTGAATCAAACAAATTTAGAATTGAAAAATAAATACCTGAAATACAAAATGCATACATATGGGTTGAGTTGGAAGATAGATTTCGTGCAAAACATTCTAACTGAAGCAGAAAAAAATTGATATTTGTACAGAAAATATTTGTGTAATTGAAGTTCCAGAAGAAAGAAAGGAGAGAGGAATTGAGAACATAAGCAATATTTTAAGACAATATCACCAAGAATTTCCCAAACTGACAATAGACATTAAGAGAAAAGATTTAAGAAAATCTACAAAGCAGTCAAGTTAATGCAAGAAAAACCACCTGGTACATTATAATTGAAATCTGCAGAAAAACAGGGCAAGGAAAGATTTTTAAAAGCAGCATAAACAAATAAATGTTGATTTTTAGGTGATAAAATATTAA